TTTTTTGATAGTGGGACAAGATGAATGAGGTAATATCTTTTGTTGGACCAACTTCCGGTGGGGAAAGAGCCAAGTTTTTGAACTATACCAGGCTCTCCCTCAGGTTTGGGAAGGCACTCCAAGCATCAAGCTGTAAAAGCCCTAGTGTAGTTCTAGCTATCCAAAGTGGGAGGCTACGTCTACACTGGCCCCTAATTCCGGAAAAGTCATGCAAAGCAGGTAAGTCAGAATAGGGAAATCCGCGGGGGATTTAAATATCCCCCGCGGATTTAAATAAACATGTCCGCCGCTTTTTTTTCGGCTTGGGGAAAAGCTGGAAAAAAGCGTCTAGACTGGCGCGATCCTCCGGAATAAAGCCCTTTTCCAGAGGATCTCTTATTCCTTCTTAACTCTTATTCCCACACCGGAATTAGAGGCCAGTGTAGACGTAGCCTCCCACTTGAAAGTAGGAATAAGAGATCCTCTGGAAAAGGGCTTTATTCCGGAGGATCGCGCCAGTCTAGACGCTTTTTTCCGGCTTTTCCCCAAGCCAGGAAAAAAGCGGCGGACATGTTTATTTAAATCCGCGGGGGATATTTAAATCCCCCGCGGATTTCCCTATTCTGACTTACCTGCTTTGCATGACTATTCCGTTTTATGGGGCCAGTGTAGACATAGCCGGAATGTCTACACTGCTGGATTTAGCCCCAGGGCATGAGCCTCAGTCAGGTGACCAGGATCTAAGATTCACTGCTTCAGAGCTGGTTTGTTTGTTTGTTTGCTTTGCAATGTAAATATGCCTACTAGGAAGCCACGCCCAGAGAATTTATGTGCCTGTAGTCTGAACCTCTGCACAGGTGGCTAGTGTGAGTGGAGCTTTTTTCCCTCTGACCCCAGCCTCTACTTGAATGCAGTTTTGTTTTGGAGCTGTAGTCCCAGACTTTGTTAGAGCAGCTTCATTTGTTGTTTCAGTGCTCAGGGCATGCAAAAGCACAAAGACACACAAGTGCATATGGTTTGTAACGCCACCAGAAAGATTTTAAACAAAAAGATTTCTGCAAAAACAGAAGCACAGAAGAAGCACAGGTGCCCTGGTGGCCATTATGTTAATGGCAATCAGAGCTTTCTTGCAAGAGAGTGTCCATGCAGGGCTGGCCTGAACCATTTTGGTGTCCCGGGTCTGGGCGTGTGGCGCCGCCCCTAGGCGCACGGCGCATGCGTAGTCCTGCCCCCGGGGCGCACGGCACATGCGCTGCCCGGCCCAGCCATGGCCACTAGCATGCAGGCTGTGGCCCGCCCCTGGGGCACACGGCGCATGCGCTGCCTAGCCCAGCCACCGCTGCTGGCACACAGCCCTTGCACAAGAACCCTGCAGTCTAGACGTAGCCCGAGCTAGAATAAATCATGCTGTTAGCTCTGAAGGTTTTCCCAGTTCAAACCCTGTTGCTTGAGCAGCACGGTGTCTGTTATGTCCACCCTCAAGTGCTTATCAGTGAAGCTACCCCAGTGTGTGCCAGCCACTCATCCATAGAGACAAAGCG